ACTGGATAAAAAAAAAAAAAAAAAAAAAAAAGGAGGACAAGGTCCAAAAGAGTAAAACTAGTGGGTGTTTGGGCCACTCATATCCATGTTTTGTTTTTGGTTCCAGGGATTGAACTCGGGTCCTTGCACTTCCGAGGCAGGCATCGGAACCACTGAGCTGAATCCCCAGCCCTCATATCCATGCTTCATTAAGCACCTGCTGTGATGGGTAGAAATTTTTGCATCCAGAATGTAAGCGACTGGAGCTCCAAGCTGCCAGATAGGGCTGAGGACAGGTTTTTGATTCTGTGGGTTGGGTGTCCCACGTGCTATTTACTTGCTTAGATCTTATTAACACCTGCATGAGACTGATTATTAAAACCAATGCCTGAAAGAGATTAAGTTAAAAGTACTTATACTCAAAGTAAAAATACAAAGCAGTAATTTTAAGAACTTGAAAGGAACAACATCACAAAAATTGGCAGTGAGAAATTCAGGGCTCCATCCTGCAGTATAAACAACTAGCAAAAAGCTGTCAGAACTGCCTTTTTCAGGACTCTAGAATCTTCTCACAACCTTGTAACAACCGGGTGAAGGTGTAATGAAAAAATTGCTCAGAGCCAGGCATGGCAGCACACACTGGTAATTCCAGAACTGGAAGGCTGAGGCAGGAGGATCACTGCAAGTTTGAGGCCAGTCTCGGCTACACAGTGAGTTCAAAGCTGATCCGAACTATAGAGCAAGACCCTGTCTCAAAAAAGAAAGAAAAGGGAAGGAAACTGTGGTGGCACTAAGAGCGTTGTGCCATTTTAAATTGCCTGCTTGCCACACTCCTCTAGATTGCTGGTGGTCTTTACCATGGCAGTGAACTCCTAGTGCAAGTCACGAGTGACAGAGGGGACATCACAGGTTTCTTCCCTAACAACCATTGGCTACCCGTTTGGACTTGACCAGGGGTTCCCTAAGAAAGTGGAAAAGGGCTGACATTTGAGCTTTTACTGAAAGCATGTAAGAGCAAAAGTATTGGCTGCAGCAGTCTGACAAGCAATAGCAAGATCAAACATTCTGGGAAGGAAGAGTTTAGGAAAGGAAATGTGAGGAATAGGGGATTTTAAAAACTCTTGAGCTAGGAATGTAGTTCGTGGTAGATCACTTACCTAGCATGAGGAATCCCCAGTACCTGAGGCTCAATTCCCAGAACAGCAAAAAAAAAAAAAAAAAAAAAAAAAAGTTTGTTTTTTTTAAAATTTTTAATTTCCTGCACTTACCAGAGAATCAAGAAGGCTGCATGCATGCCTA